TATATATCTTCAGCAAGTTACCGTTTTTTATCCCTTACAAATGGAGTCCCCCCACCTGTCCCTCAGTGAGGTCTAGAAGCAGAAGATCTATATCTTATCATTCAGCAAAGATGCTGCTACATCATGGCTGTACATCTTATTTGGCATTTGACCAATTAGATGAGCCCTTGAATGATATACTGTAGAGTTAAGTTTAAAAAAAAGGTAACAAGTCAAGGAAAAGAGGTAAAAAGCTCATTGAAATATTAAAAGTAAAGTTAATAGTTAATAAGCCTAGTTAACAATTATATTTAGAATTATAAACTAAAAAATGTAATTGCAAGTATCAGCAATAATGCCTCTAGGGCTATGTTGGACCAAAAACAATCTGTTTCGTTTATTCTCAGTGTTTTTTATTAATTTGTTATAGAAGCACTTTTTTAATTTTTCTTAATATATTCGGGCAAGTTGGCGTTTCTTGTTATTACATTGATATACATTTTTGCAATTTAAATGTCAATTTTTAAGGTAATAAGGTCTTTTTATGGATTCCAATAACACTATTGGTTTGAAATTTGGATTTTCAAAGTATTTCACTGAGTCCCCTATAAAGGGTTAAACACGATTAGTTTTTATAGTAAAAGTTATTTGAAAGACTGATGGTCCTGATTAACAGCTCTGAAGCAGCAGTTATTTTCTCTGGGCTTCAGGGGCTGGTAGGAGTCTTTAGGAGCTGTTAGAAACTGTGGTTCTCATCTGAAGCTTGCAGCTTGTCCTTGTTTGGCTGTATTAGAGCCACTTCTCTCCTGGTTCACCCAAGGAAAACCCACTGCATAGAAAGCTTTTCCTAACAGCTACTGCTCTGTGCTTTCTGTGTTCAGGTCAAGGGTGTAACTTTGTAATGAAAGTTGGTGGGGTCACTTGAGTCGACCCAAAAACTTTCAGTAGATTTTTGTATTTGCCAAAAATGTGCACAAACATATATTTATTCAATGTTTTCCTATTGTTGAAAACACAGGTGTTTATATTTATAGGTATTTAGACAGATGCCTTTTAGTGCATTATTTATAAAGCACTAAAAAACATTAATGCTGCTGAAGATTCTTAGTCATCCAAGTCATAGTTATTCCAATAAAAACGTAAAAAACTTGTTTCCAAGTTTGAAGATGTTTTGCTTCCCATCCAGAAAGCTTTTTCAATTCAAAATATAAGGAATAGAGTTGAGTTCGAGGTTTTATACAGTATCTCATCAAAAAACTTGTTTTTGTTTCAAAAACATCCTTTTTTTTTTGCATGTTTTCAAAAGTAAATAATTCTGGACACATGTGGCGAAATAGTTGCGTTTTCATTACAAGTGTGTACTGAACTTAGTCAACTATTTGTTAACAGAAAGAAAATTACTATTGGAGTGTTTATATTAAAGAAATGCAGTTAAAATTGTATGAATTAAGGCTGTTCAAACATTAAAAGATATGTTAACATCTTCCTCCTACTTTTTGCAGCAACATACAAGTTGAAGGCTTAGATGAAGACAATGGTTTTGCTAACTCTGAAAGTTGAACTGGATCAAAGCAGTCTAAACTTAGTTCAGATTTAACCCTCCAGAGATAAACCAATCATAGATAGAAGAGTGCTAATGATCTTATTTTTAATAAGATCAATATTATTTATAAAGATCCCATAAAATCATTACTGCTAAGAGCAGGTGGAATGGATGGTTCAACAGAGCTATGGCTCTGGGTGAGCTTGGCAACTGTATTCAAAATATATCTATGAGTAGCTTTCTACTTCTAATGTTTGTGTTTTTCAAAGGGGCTGCATTGTCTAAGGCACCAACCCCTGCTATGTATGCACCAAATGTGTGGTGAGTGTTTCAGGACAAGGCTGTGGGGATGCACCTGGTCGGTTTACTGGGATTCAAATTTCACTTGGAATTTTCCTCAAAGCAGATGTCTTTTACTTTGCCACTGTGTCTCTCTCCCTGTCTCACTCATGAGATTACAGTCAACATTTTCTAAAAGGTCCTAAAACCTTCCGAATCCTAAAACCTTCCCGAATGACATTTATCAATCCTCCGTCTCCCCAGTCTGGCTGCTAGTATGGGTATGTGGAAAATGGCCGGCGACGAGAGGTTCGCGCTCCTCCAGCTTTTCTGCGGTATAGCAGGAAGGCTAGGGGCCTCGACTAACAGAAAGGGGGGGAAAAGGTGAGAGCTGCTAGCTCAGAGAGAAGCAGTGCTCGGATAAATTATTATGAAATTGAAGTAATCTCTGAAAATTAAGTTTCGCTCCTACTGTAGCTGTGAAATAACACATGGAATGGTCTATTTGAAACAGGAGACATCCTTTTTTTATTGAACGCTGTGAAAATTGCAGGGAGGACTATCACAAAGCAATTCAAACTAAATATCTCATACAAACACTCCTGAATACAACTCAGTCTTCTTCAGATATATATTCATTATATACAAATCCTGAAGCTTTATAAGCTCACGTCGAAAAAATTAGGTAAAAGTAAAAGTTTCGTGAAGAAAAAACGTTCCTGTAGTGTTTTATTTA